ACACACACACACACACACACACACACACACACACACACACACACACACACACAGAGTAGCTGGGCATGGTGGCTCATGCCTATAATCCCAGCTACTCAGGGGTCTGAGGCTGAAGAATCACTTGGGCCTGGGAAACGGAGGTTGCAGTGAGCCCAGATTGCACCACTGCATTCCAGTCTGGGCGACAGAGTGAGAACTTTAAAAAAAAGAAAACGAAGAAGAAGAAGAAATACACAGCCCAGAGATCTAGGGAAAATTGGTTGTGGGAATGCTTGAATGCAAGGCCCTTTCTTGTCATGATTGCTGAAGATGGCACACATTTCCTGGGTTTCCTCCGAATTCAGCCACACAATTTCTTGGCTGTTGATTCCAAAATTCCACAAAATGCTTTGCCAATAGCCAAATTTATTCATCTGCCTGATTCATTACGCAGTAAGTGGAGACTCTGGAGGGAGCTCTAGGTGCCCTCATTTCCTCCCCAGTCTAGGTTCTCAGTTTTCTTAGGTCAATACAGGGTACCCCCCAAAATAGGGGGGACTCAGAGGAATTACGTTCCCCTTGCCTTCCAGCAGAAACGTGAAAGCGGCAGGAAAAGCATAGTAAGATCCTTGTTCTAAATATAGACCCCACAACTCCTTACACCTATGTCAGTTACCTAAAGCCACAGATTAAAGCAGATACGAAATGGTGTGACCACCCTGGCTCTCTCCTAGACAATGGAACTGAGATGGAATTTGATGGTAGTGGAAGCACAATGTGGCTGGTATCTCTCCTCCCAGGAATCTCGCTTCTCTTAGTGTGATAGCTTCCAGCCACCCTTAAGTTCAGTCCTGATCCATTGCATGGCACAGATTTGAGACATAATTATCATGACAGGCCAGGGGGAGAAAATGTGATTGAGATATTGGCTAGGTGGGCAGCAGCTCCTGGTGCACCTGAGTGATTACCTATTTAGTTTAAAAGTATATGACCCATGTCAGTTTCCCACATCATGCTGCAGTCATATCTCCAGGCTGTCCAGAACAATTGGGCTAAAAACCAATCACCAACTGTAGCAGGAAATAAGCAAGTAAACCAAGATTTAAGACTTTGTGTTGCTTATAGATACTGCATGTTCATATACACACGTATTGACAGTCAGGTTACTTCTAGGGCTTGGAAACCTTGATTTCTCAAGCTATTCAAGTATTATGATACAAGGAGAAAGAAGAAATAGACCTGAGAGTAGGGGCCCATAAACTCTCTGACCTCATGCACAATAGCTTTTACATGGACATATAAGATTTCACTCCGGAGTGGCCCATAGTTTTCCCAAGTCTCAAAGGGATCAAGGACCCCAAAAGAAGTTAAGAGCCACAGTCCTAGAGCACTGCAGCTGAGAAAGGCCTTTGTGAGAAGTAGTTCAACCTCCCATTCTACTAATGAGGAAACTGAGGCCCAGAGAGGTATAAGAGGTATCTAAAGATTACATCGTTCATTAGCAGCAGAGCTGAGCCTAGGACCCCTCTCTCTATCTCTCAGTGCTGTCAAGAAATGTTTTTGAAGAAAGAAAAGTACTGGCATGCTCTTTAAAGTGATGGACCCCTATTCCTTATGGAAAAACATTTTGTAGAACAGTGCTGTACAATATAAATAGAACACGAGCCACACATGTAATTTAAACATTTCTAATAGTCACATTACAATAAAAAGAAACAGATGAAGTTAATTTTAATAATATATTTTAGTAAACCCAATATATCTAAAATATTATCATTTCAATATGTATTAAATGTAAAAATTATTGAGCTTTTTGCATCCTTTTTTTCCATACTAAGTATTCTCGATCCAGGGTGTATGTTACATTTGCTCCACGTCTGATTTGGATAAACCCCATTTTAGGTATGGCTGTTGGTGGCCGCCATATTGGGCAGCCCATGTGCAGACTATGTTTTCAGCCCCAGCAAGTGGATGCTTTGTGTCCCTTGTTTGATTCCACAATTCCTTGCAGGAGTCGGGTGGTATCTCCGGTGATAGATGTGATTGACTGGAAGACTTTCCAGTATTACCCCTCGAAGGAGCTGCAGCGTGGGGTGTTGGACTGGAAGCTGGATTTCTACTGGGAGCCTTTGCCGGAGCATGTGAGCAAGGCCCTCCAGTACCCCACAAGCCCCATCAGGTGAGGCCCCATTTCACACCTGCTTTGCCTTTGCCTCCTCAGGATGGACTCTGCAGCCTAGCTGCCTGGGGTCTAATCCTGCCTCCACAGCGTCCTAGTAAATCACTTAATTTATGCCGCAGTTTCCTTATCAGTAAATTGAGAGCAATCACAGTATTTACCTTAAAGGATTGTTGTGAGGACTGAATATGTGAAAAGCGCTTAGAGATGCCAACCACCCAGATGTGGATGTTGCCACCATTATATTGTTGTATTCATAAAGTTCTGCCAGGCTTCTCCAGGTAGCATCACTTAATGCCCCACTGTGGCAACCTGAGATGGAATCTTGGCCCAGCTCTCTCACCAGGTACAGTGTGAATTCCTCAGGTCCTGTCTTAGCAAATAGGAAGAAATCAACCAAATGAATGCTAAGAACCATAGGTCTCAAATATATCCAGTTGTATGGGTCACTTCTCACATGTTTGGTTTTTGGATGACTCTTCTGTTTAAGTAGATATACTAAATATCTTATGCATAACAAACCACCTCAAACTTGGTGTGAACAACAGCCTTTTATTAAGCTCATGAATTCTGTGGGGCGTGAATTTGGAAAAGATGCAGGGGGATTGGTTTTCTGCCTCCATGGTTTCTGGGGTACATAAGGATTTTAAAAGTTTCTCAACACTATAAAAGTAACGAGAGGTGAATCCAGAATTAAAACTCAGACAGCCAGGCCCTGAGACCACTGGCTTCACTGCTATGCTATATGTTAAACGCAAGGCCATGGTTCATTATTCACAACTGCAAAATCCAAAAAGCTCTAAAAACCAAGCATTTGTTTAATAATTCATTAGGCAGCAGGCCAAGTGCAATGACTCACTCCTGTAATTCTAGCACTTTGGGAGGCTGAGGCGGGCGGATCGCTTGTGGCCAGGAGTTCGAGACCAACCTGGCCATCATGGTGAAACCCTATCTTTACTAAAAATACAAAAAATATATAAAATTATCTGAGTATGGTGGCACACTCCTGTAGTCCCAGCTACTTGGGAACCTGAGGCATGAGAATCACTGGAACCCAGGAGATAGAAGTTGCAGTGAACTGAGATGGCACCACTGCACTCTAGCCTGGGCAACAGAGCAAGATTCTGTCTCAAAAAAACACAAACAAAATCATTAGGCAGCAAAAGCTGCCCTGAACTGACATGGGTGTCTGCGTCGGCCTCATTTATCCCACTTACTGCTTACAGTGAAAACATGTGTATGTTTCACCATAGAAATACTAGTATGTTTAACTACAGAGGGGCCCAGATCCCACTAGGACTGATGTGTTTCGCTTTTTAAAGTCCAAAATATTCTGCATTAAAAAACACACTGGTCCCACAGGTGTCAGAAAAGGAATGCTGAACTTGTAACATCAAAATCCAGTGAGCACTTAAAATGTGGCGTGCACAGAGCCACACCTTTTACATGACTTGCCCTTTTCATTCCCTCAAAACACAATGACGAAGCACTATTTTATCCTCAATTGGAGGTGAGGAAGCTGAGCTCAAAGACATCTATCCCACCTAAGATCTTACAAATTGGGAGTGGCGGAGTTGGAAATTATACTGAATAATCATTACAATATCAGTTTTTAGTATTCTGGTATAATGTCGAATTTTTATAATCTAAAGGCCAGTAGCTTTGTTAATGTATTACCATTTTTTTTTGTAATTAAGAAAAATCTAAACTCTTAGTCATTTAGGCTTCGAAAAATACCAAGAATTTGGTTGCTTTAAAATTTCTTCCTTCTAGATGAAGAGACCCTTTTTCAAAAACCTTCTGACTACATCTTTTGCTGTTTAAAATCCCTCTGAGGGATATTATGATCTCCATTCCCTTATTAAGGGTTTCTAGCTTCCTGTGTTTATAAATCATATATTTTCCCCCCAGGGCAGTGGGGACTTACCTGCTTCCAGGGTCCCTGGTGGATTCATCATAGAACTGGGGAGAGGATGGATGGTTATTAGGGAAACAGAAGAGGGTGAGAAAGAGAAAGGAGGAAAGCGCCTGACCACGTTGCTGTGTCAGGCCTGGCGCTGCCTCTCTTAGGGTACTTTGTTTTAACCAAGACCTTCTTCCCAAACATCTTTCCAGAGGGACTCAAGCCAGAGGGCAGGGGAGTCTCAGATGTGGTCCCTGGGCCCTCTCTAGGAGCAGTACCTGAGGACAGAGTGTAAAAGGCCCAGGCAAGCTTAGCTCTCTTTTCATCAAATACTGGGATCTCTCACATCATGGCTCTGCTCCAGTCTTGCAATTAAAAACATTGCTTTCTACCTGAGCCCAAAGCCTGTTCTCTCGGCCCCTGGCGATCCTACCTAGGAGGCCCCCGCCCCCAGCCTTGCCTGCTGTGCTCTGGCTTCTGAACTGCAGTGTTCTGCCGTCTTCTGTGTCCAGGAGCCCTGTGGTGCCTGGAGAGGTGGTGGCCATCGACAGACATTACTTCCAAAACACTGGAGCGTATGACCCTCTCATGTCGCTGCGGGGTGGCGAAAACCTCGAACTGTCTTTCAAGGTATGTCCTGGACCAAGGGAGGACACAAGCGGGATCTCTGGAGTCATATGTATGGTCACATCTCGGAGGCAGGCATTAGAAAGGTCACTGGGAAGGCATGAGGCTGTGGGAAAATTATAAAGTCATTCCCGTGTTGTGCGTGGAACCTCCCATTTCTCACAGTTTCCCATCTCTCTTGTGCTGAAGCTTGGTTTTACTCTCAGCGCCCTCATGAAATTGACCCTCAAAACCTGCTTCCAAGAATGGGGATACTCTCAGTTATTGTAACGCTGTGCAGAGATTCCAGAGGCTCTCATACATTCTCTATTCATAGCACTCTTAGATCTTAGTAATTTTTTCACAGCACCCATAGACCAAAACACATACCCAGAGTTCTGTGTATTGAGTAGTTTGGCCCAAGCACTTTAATACTTGTAGTAAGAACTTAGCACCTGTTGGGCACCACACAACTTCTTGAACTTTGGAATCGCCCTCACTTCCTGTTCCACATTGGTTTCTAGCATGATATTTGCTTTCTGATCACAGTACCCTCCAAAAACCTAACTCCCCAAAATATTCATCATCAAAAGTGCGGAGATCTAATGCTGAAAGTGTGGATCACTCAAGCTTCTATTTAAGTCCAACAGATGTCACCATGTTTCTCTCAAAAATTGAACACCAGACCCTAGGAATTTGCTGGGGCACCCTGGGACACCTTGGCACACAGTTTGGGAACTCCGGTTTTGATGTTTCCATTCAGATGTTGCTTATCTTAGGACTGTTTTTGCTTTAACCCTTATCCCCAAATGTGGAATGAAAGGCTTCCTGCCAAATGAACTCCAGCCACTTGGGAGTGGGAGAGCAGAGGGAACTTTCTTAAAACAGTGAAGACTATGTCTCAGGAAAGCTTGCTATGTCTCTACCACAAACAGCTTCTTGTGCCTTTGTAGGACACTTCATAAGCTTTTAAACATTCCCGGACAATTGGGGACCTCTTTTTCCCCAAAGTGTCCTCTGGGGAGTTGGGGTGTCTGTTAACATGCTACATCTCTCTAAGTGCTGGATCTGCATGTGTTTGAAGGGCAGCACATTCAGATAGTTGCATGGGAATGGTCCCCTTGTCCCCATTTCGGGACAACTGCCTCTATTCTCTCCACCTCGTCACTTCCAAATCGGAAAACTCTACTCCACCCTGAGGACCATAATCATCTTCACCATGTGTGCTCACGACTTCCTGTGCATTTTCCCAGTCCCTCATAGACAAGGCTCCTTATTTCCCACTGTTCTTAAAGGCGGAATGCCGAAGTGTTTATCTTCTCCTTTCACGGCAGGCCTGGCTCTGTGGTGGCTCCGTTGAAATCCTTCCGTGCTCTCGGGTGGGGCACATCTACCGAAATCAGGATGCCCACTCCCCACTCGACCAGGAGGCCACCCTGAGGAACAAGGTTCGCATTGCTGAGACCTGGTTGGGGTCATTCAAAGAAACCTTCTACAGACACAGCCCAGAGGCCTTCTCCTTGAGCAAGGTAAGGAGAGAGCCAGGTGGGGGTTTCTGTGTCCAGCACAGGGCCACCAGCAGGAGGTGGGCCAGGGAGGGCTCCCTCCTCTCCCTTGCCTGAAGGGGAAAACAGAAGATTCTAACTTGAGCTTCCCACAAGCTGCACTGTCTCAAGTGGCTTCTCCACCTGGTGAGGCTGTCCTTTGTCTCTCTGTCTTCTCCATGGGACATCACAGCTGGCCTTGGCTGAAGCTCCCTAACATCTATGGGATGACATCTATGGGATGTGATCCCTCACCTGGGGCCAGGGGAGGGGTTGACACAGAAAAGTGATGAGATAGGTCTCCAAGGCCAGGCCTCTGTTCTGAGCAAAGGGCTTAAGGCTATGAAATGGTCTATGACATGAAACAAATATGAAATATAAAAATAGAGCCCCAAAAAGCCATAGAAAAATAAAAATTTTCAACATTTAACTGAATGTCCATGAATAGCACATTATCAGTCAGTCAGCTGCTGCTCAGGCCCGTCCTTCCGGAGTGACCCATAAATGTTGTTGAATATGGGAAGTGGATTCACATTAATGCTTGCCGTACTGAAAGTGGGGGCTCCGAAGACAAGATTCCCAGGACCCACAACAGCCCTGGAGCAGCTCCCTCAAGCCCCTCAGCAGCCTACACTTCTGGGGTGTGAGTTAGGTGTGAGTTAGGTGTGAGCTAGGTGTGAGTTAGGTGTGAGTTCAGTGTGAGCTAGGTGTGAGTTAGGTGTGTTAGGTGTGAGCTAGGTGTGAGTTCAGTGTGAGCTAGGTGTGAGTTAGGTGTGTTAGGTGTGAGCTAGGTGTGAGTTCGGTGTGAGCTAGGTGTGAGTTTGTGTGCCGCAGATGAAGTCTAGGCCCTTTAAGTGGAAAGACATGCCTGAGTGCAGGGCCAGCCTGACAGAGAAGCCCCGCAGAGCAGCCCCAGCGCCTCCCCTTCTGCCCTGGTCCTCAGGGCTCTGCTTCCTCCCTATTCTACATCCAACCCCTTCCCTAAGTGGGAATAGCCTCTAGGGCCTGGGGTGTGTTGGGGCTCCTTGAATTTCAAGCTTCTTTGTTTCTTTAGCTGGGGAAAGTGTTAATAGCACTCAGAGTCCCTGGGCTCAACAGTAATTCCCAAGGTCTAGGCAGGCTAGAATCTCTCTTGGACCCTGTCGATTAGTCACACTATTACACAGAGAGGCACTGGCTCCTTTCCTGGTACAGAAGAAATGCTACTGACAGCAGCCTCCTTCGTTCCTCCAGGAAGCCACTGGGATTGAAAGGAAAACTCTCACAAAGACCCAGCTCAGTGACTAGCTAGCATCTTTGTTCTTCTTTAGTCTCCTTCTCCGTCTCCCTCTGTGGGAAGTGGAAGCATGTGTCCAATTCTAGACACCAATCTAGAAGCTATATTGTCTGATGGTTAAGCCCATGGACTCCAAGAACAAGATGGTCTGGGTTTAAGTATTGCTTATATGATCTAGAAAGTTACTTCAACACTCAGTGTTCCTGCTTCCTCGTTTGTTGAGCCTTCCTTCTGTTGTTAGGATGAACAAATATGTTAATAAATCCACAGCACTTGGAAGAGTGCCTGGCACTGAGTAAGCCCTGCTTGTGTGTTTACTATTCATGCCATCATTATCTTCATGGCTACTAATGGTCAACAAAGGTCAGCCAAGCACCTGCTCTGTGCCAGGCCCTGGGTGGGTCCTGCAGGGGACACAGAACCATACCCAAAGCTTATCAGGTTCCTGGTGGGGAAGGAGCTCCTCTGGAAGAGATAATGTTTGCAAAGGTGAGAGTGATTCATCCTAGACAGGCTCATGACAGACATCTTTTCAGGGGAGGTCACATCTAAAGAGTGGCTGAATGGGTTCAGTTCAGACATCCAGAGGAGGGGTTGGAGGAAGACTCTGGAGCCGCTGAGGGTCAGGCTAAAGAGTTTAGACTTTATTCAGTTGGCACTGGGGAGCAAGTGGCCTTCTACAGAGTTCTGTAGAGGTCCACAGAGCTTCTCCAGTTTTTTAATCTCTTGGGTTCCTTTTGGCCAAAGCATCTATTTTTCTCTCTTGGGATGTCAATTAAGTATTAGCTTTGCTTTCAGAGGCCATTTTCTTAACATTGGCACGGACTGCGTTTATAAAGAACTATTAAGGAAGTGTTAAATATTGCATAATTTTTGATGCACCAGACTAACTTTCCACCAGACAGGCTCATTAGGACACGGCATGTTGGCTGTGGCCAGCCTAATGCAACAGCATGCAAATTATTTACAGAACTCCAGCCTCCTTCCCACATTTGTTGGTGCAATTAGAAATGCTGTGAATATATACAATATATATATAGTCTCTGGGGGCGGAGCCCAGGAATCTACATTTTAAACAAGCTCCACGGGCATTAGTCAGGCAGATGCTCAGGGAATCACACTTTGAGAAGTACCTAGAGAGAATTTCAGTACGGCAGACTTACCGCATCTCCAGCTGAGGGAGAGAAAGCAGAACCAAACCAAGTGTACTTCACACAGCCTGGTGAACCCTGTGTGTTATTGTCAGATTAGAGGATCAATCTAACGGAGTTCCATCAAGTGGGAACTCTGACACAGCCAGCTTGCTTCCTCGCCCCATGCCAGGGAAGGGTTCTCTCTGTTTTTGTCTGTGTTCATTCCAACCCACCCTTGTCACTGCTCTCTTCCCTAAAAGTATCCAAGATTTGGTACTAAACTTTTGGGTACGGTTCTTTGTATCATCAATAGAGCCAAAAACATTAATTTGTCCTAGCGTTAGGGATTTGCCTTGATCTTCATCCTGGGACAATTGTATCATAAAGGAGAATCTCAAAAAGAGGGGATAGTGTAGTCCAAAAGAACGATTCATTAACCGTACCCAGAGGTGAAGAAAGATAAACTTGCCTTGCCCCAACCCCTAGCCCATGATCTCCTAACCAACTTCATCTCAATTGCCTATGGGTCAGTTCCTGCCTCCATGAAGCCCATCGTAGTTTCTCCTTACACCAACCTAGGTGCAAAGCCCCACCATTTTGCCAGCTTCTGCAGAAAAGTCATTAAAGCAAAGATATCATAGTCTCTTTTTTGTTGTTGAGACGGAGTCTTGCTCTGTCGCCCAGACTGGAGTGCAGTGGTGTAATCTCAGCTCACTGCAGCCTCTGCCTCCTGGGTTCAAGCGATTCTCCTGTCTCAGCCTCCCAAGTAGCTGGGATTACGGCACACACCATCACGCATGGTTAATTTTTTGTATTTTTAGTAGAGATGGGGTTTCACCATGTTGGGCTGGTCTTGAACTCCTGACCTCAAGTGATCCACCCGCCTCGGCCTTCCAAAGTGCTGGAGGCATGAGCCACCACACCTGGCCTATGATAGCCTTTATAGCCTGGGGATTCGAGGGGTTGTGGGAAGAGGCTGGTATCACTTACAGTCTTACTGGTTCCACAACTCTCTTAGGGAAGATCTATGCTATTCTGTCCCTTCCAAACCTTCTTCTCCCAACACATGACCCTCCCCACTGCAGCCCTGGAGAACTGTGGTCTTGGCTTCTTCCTTCTGTCCTGATCCTTCAGCTTCTTCCCAGCCACCCCATCCCCAACCATGAGAATTCTGGGCAAGACAAGCTTTCATCCTCCTGCTGTGTCTTTCTCCTCCCCAGGCTGAGAAACCAGACTGCATGGAACGCTTGCAGCTGCAAAGGAGACTGGGTTGTCGGACATTCCACTGGTTTCTGGCTAACATCTACCCTGAGCTGTACCCATCTGAACCCAGGCCCAGATTCTCTGGAAAGGCAAGATATGACCCAGGGAAGATGGGGAGGGGGGAAGGGAGAGGGAAGCTTCCCAAGACAAGAAGTAGATGTTCAGCTGTTCCGTGTCCCTGGCCAACCACCCACAGCTTAGCAGAGCCTCAGCGGCCTTGGGCCCATCCCCTGCCTTCATGACAGTCTGAGGATGGTAGCTGGGTTTTATCCCATAACCCACTCCAAAGACCCTCCTTCAGGAGGCCTGTCCCTTAGAGTCAGTAGCTTCAGTTTGACCCACCCATTGTTGTGGCCTGAACAATGCACCTTGGGCTATACTCCAGAGAATACAGGAAAGGAATGGTGTCTGACCGGGGTATCTTTACAGTGGGATTTGGAATTCACTTCTGTGTGGGTGTCCACTTTCAGCTCCACAACACTGGACTTGGGTTCTGTGCAGACTGCCAGGCAGAAGGGGACATCCTGGGCTGTCCCATGATGTTGGCTCCTTGCAATGACAGTCGGCAGCAACAGGTGGGTAGTCAGATTTCTCAGGATGGATGATAGCTCAAGAAGACTTGCAAGTGGGTGCTGTTTTTCTGGGATGCTCTGTAATTCCCTTTGAGGTATCTTCTTTCTGTGGTCGCATGTCCCTTGACTGCCATGGTCCCCCACTGTAACGACCCATCACAGCTTTGCTCACCTCACCTCCATCCATAAGCACAGACATGGGCCTTCGTCAGAAAATAAAAACATCTTAGTTGAAGGGAAATGGAGAGGCTGTTTGGCCAAACTTTTCATTTGACAGATGAGAAAACTGAGACTTAGAGTCACGAGCCCAGGGGTTGCGAACTCAGAAGCATCCAGGGTTCAGGCAGGGTTCAATTGTCCGAGGACTGAGGAAGAAGGTAATCAAATCAGGATACGGATCTAGATGCAACAGGGTCATTCCAGCTTCCAGCACCATTTGGTCATTAGGAAGGCCTCCTTATATCTTAGGAGTAATTCTTCTCTTCAAAATTTCCATCATAGAAAAACTGCCCAAGTGGTAGAAATCTTCCACTGATGCTAGCTGAGGGCAGGTAGGTCCACTTCTTTTCACAACTAGATGACAACCTAGAAAGCCTAGCCTGTTTCAGGTTGTGATGGGGATTGTTCAGTTATCACATCCCAAAGGCCCCTAATAAAAACAAACATTGAAGTATAATTTCCTGGAGATATTCACTGGAAGAATCAAAGATCCTGGGGACAAAAGACAGCATCTCTCTGAGGGTCCGTGGTGCGGGGCTGGATGACGCTGGGCTTGGCAGTGCAGGCCCTGGGGTCCTGGGGACAGGCTCTGGGCTTATAGGACATGTGGGAGGGTGATGCTCAGGATCCATCTGGCCTCCTCTGGCTCTGCCCTTTGCTAGTCTCCTGGGACATACCGATAGGCATTCACACCTGGCACAAGGGAGGCAGACATAAACATCAAGTGCTGGGTGAGGAAGCCACATGGTAGGGTGAAAACTGATCAAGCTTTGCAGTCAGACATAGCTCGGTGTGAATCTGAGCTCCTTTGTTTTCTAGCTGTGTGATCTTGGCGGGCTTTAAATCTTGGTTTCCTCATCTGCAATTAAGAATAATGTAAAGCCTTTACAGAGATTATTCCGAGTTTGAAAAAGAAGAATTAAAAAATAAAGAAACAAAACAACAATACAGCTTCCTTCATGCAAAATGAATATTAGCTTTTTTGTTCCTTTCTTTTTTAATAGTAAGAACTTTAGGATCCTGCAATATTGTAAATTAGGTAAGTTGAAAGCCCTTCCCCATAAACACCTAGATAAGATATGCTGGATAAAAAAATATAACACACCCTTTTTCATCAATAAATGAGTTTATAAGAAAGAAAGGGAAACCTCCAAGGGTCGGATAACAAGAGGTAACTGAAAGTAGAGGAATCGGGCATGGGCAAAGCTGCCCTACCAAGTGTGAGGGGATAGTTACTGTCAACCCCAGGAATCTACGGGTGTTGGCTCCATGCAAGGATAGGTGACGAGAACCCGGCTTCAGCCCATGAGAGATGAGAAGTCGGAAATGAAACTCCCATAGCAAGCCAGCTTTGACCTTCAAAGGGTAACCTGTCCTTGAAAAGTTTGACTAGAAAGACCCACCCCCTGCCATTGGAAAATGGCAAGAAGCTTGTTCCTACAGGGGCTTTAAGTAGGAAACAAATTACTCTCCCCTGAGAATTTTTAACCCTAAGCTTGCATCTAATATGGGCTTAGGTTCACATGTGTGCTAATTGTGTAGTTCGGGAATCCTCAAGCAGGACAGGCTATCTAATTGCAGGGCCCAGTGCAAGATGACAGTGTAGTCTTGAATTTGACAATTATTAAGAATTTCAAGACAGCGACAGCAGAACATTAAACCAAGTTTATTAAACCAAGAGTCCAAGAGTATTAAACCTGTCTAAGCATGAGGCCCCATGTGACCACACAGGTCACATACCCATGAAGCTGATCCTATCTGTAAGCCACAAAATTAACATAAATATGAGTTCAGGCTGCACTGACAGAAACAAACAGAAAATAGTCCCTCAAGGACACGGCTTCCAATTAATCCTCACAGGCCCTCACAGATAAAGCCCCTCTCAGAGGTTGCACAATCCAACACTGCAAAACGCTGGAGGAAACAATACCCATGAGCAAGGGCCAGCAAATACACCAAACGGCAGGAAACTTAGTTCCAGGAGCAGGCCAGGGCTCTCCAGAAAGACGCCTGGGCTTCCTCATCTGTGCTCTCAACAGTATACCAACAAAACACAGAGCACTTTTTATGGCCTCGCCTATGATACAGTACAAAGAATAACAGAGGAGCATGACAGAATATGTAAATATGAATGTGAGAACAGCCGGAATGTGGGGACTCCAGAGGCCAGGACTAGTCTAGCAGCATGTTTTTGGACTTCACCATGAGATACGGTCTTGCTGACCCCAACAGAATCTGAAGATTGCCCCTAGACCTCAGCTCTGTTGTGGATCCTTCTCATCTCCTCAACAGCGTTGGAGAGATCTCTTTCTAGCTGCGCTAACAACCATTGCTTCTGTCAGTACCTGCAGCACACCAGCAGGAAGGAGATCCACTTTGGCAGCCCACAGCACCTGTGCTTCGCTGTCAGGCAGGAGCAGGTAATTCTTCAGAACTGCACGGAGGAAGGCCTGACCATCCACCAGCAGCACTGGGACTTCCAGGAGGTGAGTAATCTGTTCAGGAAGAGCCTGGTGGTGCTGCTGGTCGGAAGGAACTGCTGGTTGGCACTGCATCCTGGCCTCTTCCAAGAGGTCAGGTGTTACAGACCTCTGCCTCTGCTTTTGAACTTAGTGGACGGGCAGTAAGTCCTCAGGGGGAGGAAAAGGCAACCCAGCAGCAAAGTTGGGCCATTGGCACCTTCAAATGTAACGATTTGTGAGCTACATGTCTCTGTGTAGCTCTGACACTGGTCATTGCAGAGAGAGGGATCCACCTCTTTTTGAAGTTCATTAGCTCAGTTCACAGGTAGGATGGTGAGGTATGTTACAGACGCGTTCAGCCACCTTGGGGGTGTGGTTTAGGAGCAATTCAAAGTTCCTCCCCCCATCAAGAAACTTCAGATGTAGATGTAGATGTAAATATATAGATATATAGATATCACTTTCTTCCTTTTAATGCAAATTCCACTGTAAGCATTTAATCATTTTAGTAAAATTTTGACCCCTATTACCTTGGGGGAAAGAAACTATAGATCCTTTCTAGAAGTTAGGGAGGAAATAGAAGCAATGTCAGTGCTTAGGGAGAGGGAACAGGTCCCATATACAGAATCGGGATGGGTAGATGACACTATCAACGCTGTGTCCACACACAGCTTTTTCTCCACTTCAAATTCTTCCTGAAATGAGCTGGGGTATTAACATACAAACAAATAAATACACATATTTTAAAAGATTCTTTTCTTCAGCTTCCACCTGGGAATAAAAAGGATAAAATGACTAAGCGGAATCCTTTGCATTGGTACTCTTAAAGCAGGCTGTGAAAGAAGAAAATCATCCAATAGAAAACTGAAGCTAAGCTCACAATAAGCACTTGAGAACAAAACACTTGGGGCTTTCGTGATCAGCTGAAGACAGGACTCAAGGGACCCACACATGCTCAAAGAAGTCTTTTTTTTTTTTTGAGACAGAGTGTCACTCTGTTAGCCAGGCTGGAGTGCTATGGTGCGATCTCAGCTCACTGCAACCTCCGCCTCCTGGGTTCAAGCTATTCTTATGCCTCAGCCTCCTGAGTAGCTGGGATTGCAGGTGTGAGCCACTGTGCCTGGCTAATTTTTGTATTTTTTGTAGAGACAGGGTTTTACCATGTTGGCCACATTGGTCTTGAACTCCTGAGCTCAGGTGACCCACCTGCCTCTGCCTCCCAAAGTGCTGGGATTGCAGGCGTGAGCCACGGTGCCTGGTCTCAAAGAAGTCTTATAAGCCAAGTTAAGGTCCTTTGTATATTATCTTAAAGGATTTTTCTAAGCAAGTCCTATTAATAAGACATGCTTTAGAAACAGCATTTAAAAATAATAAGTAAAAGATTGGGGGGTAAGATACACCCAGCTTATTTCAGGCATTAATAAATAATACTTTTAAAAGTTACTATCATTCAGCCAGAAAAAGGAATGAGGTACTATTCATGGTGGCAATGTTTACAAGAGCCAAGAAGTAAAAGCAACCCAGATGTCCATCATAGATGAAGAGATAACAAGATGTGGTATTATAGACATATTATTCAGCCTGAAAAAGGAAGAAAATCCCATCACCTGCTACAACATGGGCATATCTTGAGGACATTAAGCTGGTGAAATAAGCCAGTCACAAAAGGACAAACACTGTATAATTCCACTAATATGAGATATCTGAAATAGTCAAATTAATAGAAACAGAAACTAAAATAGTGGTTACTAGGGGCAGGCAGGGGAGGAGAAAGAGGGAATTTGTTTATTAATGAGCGTAGAGTTTCAGTTTTACAAGATGAAAAAGTCTGGGTATCTGTTTCATAACAATGTAAATATATTTAACACTAGATTAACATTCTTTTTTTTTTTTTAATGGAGTTTTGCTCTTGTTGCCCAGGCTGGAGTTCATTGGTACATTCTTGGCTCACTGCAACCTCTGCCTCCTGGGTTCAAGCGATTCCCCTGCCTTAGCCTCCTGAGTAGCTGAGATTAGAGGCACCGGCCATTATGCCCAGCTAATTTTATATTTTTAGTAGAGATGGGATTTCACCATGTTGGCCAGTCTGGTCTGGAACTCCTGATCTCAGGTGAGCCACCTGCCTTGGCCTCCCAAAGTGCTGGGATTACAAGTGTGAGCCACCTTACCAGGCCTATTAGGTAATTCTTGGATTGCTATAAAGAAATACTTGAAACTGGGTAATTTATATGCAAAGAGGTTTAATTGGCTCGGCTCATGGTTCTACAGACTGTACAGGAAGCATAGTGGCTTCTGCTTCTGGGGAGGTCTCAGAGCGCTTTTACTCACGGCAGAAGATGAAGTGGGAGCAGGCATATCACACGGTAAAAGCAGGAACAAGAGGAAGAGAGTGGGGGAGGGGGTGCCGCATGCTTTTAAATGACCAGATCCTAAGAACTCACCATCACAAAGCACCAAGCCGTGAGGAATCTGTCCCCATGATCAAACATCCCCCACCAGCCCTACCCCCAGCACTGGTGATTACAATCCAACAGGAGATTTAGGTGGGGACTAAAATCCAAACTGTATCAACTACTGAACTTTATACTTAAAAATGCCTAAGATGGTAAAAGTTTTGACATGTGTTTTTATCACAATTTTTTTTTTTTAAATCTGGGTGTAGTGGCTCACGCTTGTAATCCCAACACTTTGGGAGGCGGAGGTGGGTAGATCACGAGGTTAGGAGTTCGAGACCAGCCTGGCCAATATGGTGAAACACCATGTCGACTAAAAATACAAAAACTAGCCAGGCATGGTGGCATGCACCTGTAGTCCCAGCTACTCGGGAGGGTGAGGCAGGAGAATCACTTGAACCTGGGAGGTGGAGGTTGTAGTGAGTAGAGATCTATTGCCCACTGCACTCCAGCCTGGGCAACAGAGCAAGACTTTGTCTCAAAAAAATAAAAAATAAAAATAAATAGAGAAAGAAAGAAAAAGAAATGTGTGTGGTACAATGTGGATGAACCTTAAAAATATTACACATAGTGCCCAACACTTTGGGAGGCAGATATGGGTGGATCACTTGAGGTCAGGAGTTTGAGACCAGTCTGGCCAACATGGTGAAAACCCATCTCTATTAAAAATACAAAAAAGTGGGCATGGTGGCATGTTCCTGTAATCCCAGCTACTCGGGAGGCTGAGGCAGGAGAATCACTTGAACCTGGGAGATGGAGGTTGCAGTGAGCTGAGATTGTGCCACTGCACTCCAGCCCGGGAGACAGAGCAAAACCCTGTCTTGGGGGAAAAAATTACACAAAGTGAAAGAAGCCAATTACAAAAGGCCACATTTATATAGTTTCATTTATATGAAATGTCCAGAATAGGAAAATCCATAAATACAGAAAGTAGAGTAGTGATTAGTCACTGGGAGGATGGAAGAATGGGAGTGACTGCTGTTGGGTGGAGGGTTTCCTTTTACAGTGATGCAGATATTCTGCAATTAGATAGTAGTGAAGACTGCACAGCTTTGTGAATACTTGTGTACTTTAAAGGGGTAACATTATGATCTCTATATTAGTCTGTTCTCATACTGCTATAAAGATATACCTGAGACTGAGTAATTTATGAAGAAAAGAGGTTTAATTGACTCACAGTTCTGCAAGCTGTACAGGAAGCATGGCTGGGTAGGCCTCAGGAAACTTACAATCATGGCAGAAGGGGAAGAGGAAGAAAGCCCCATTTTCACATGGCGGAGCAGGGGAGAGAGAATGAAGGAGGAGGTGCTACACACTTTCAAACAACCAGATCTTGTGAGAACTCTGATAAGAACAGCCAGGGGGATGTCTGCCTTCATGATTCAATCACCTCCCGCCAGGCCCCTCCTCCAATGCTGGGAATTACAATTCAACATGAGATTTGGGTAGAGACACAGAGCCAAACCATACCAATCTCAAAAATTAATAAATGAATGATGAATAAATAAATAGGCATTTTCAGAATTGCTGGTTAAGGTTATTTAACTTTTCATAAAGAAATTAAATTTTTCTTGAAAAGGAGAAGATTGGATTCAATGTTAAATCTGGTGATTTTGAGCAGGGAATAGCCATAGCCTTCTGAACATGACTGGTTTAGGTCTTCAATATATCCTAGATGTCTTGCTCACTACTACAGCCTGGTAACAACAGTGCCCAATTGCAGGATTAACAGGAGGTAAAGTGAATTAAATAGTTTTGAAAGCAGATTTACAAGTACAGTGATAACAATGAATGTCACAAATGCAGTGTAAAGACCCAACGTGCTCTGGGAATTATGCTAACCAGAACTTTCTAAGAAATGGCACAACTACACAGCTACAATAAAGATAATTGAATTAGTTACCCCTAAGATTTTGAGTGACATCCAAATTTTAGGACTACCTAAATCATATTTTATGTTAATCAAAATATCACAATTCCTTTCCAGGCCAGTTCACACTACCTGTTATTCTCTTAATGATTAGCGCAAATCTTAAAAATATTCTCTTTATTGACTGATTCTGGGGGATTGGCTTTCTTTTCTTTTTTCTTTTCTCTTTTTAGAATGGGATGATTGTCCACATTCTTTCTGGGAAATGCATGGAAGCTGTGGTGCAAGAAAACAATAAAGACTTGTACTTGCGTCAGTGTGATGGGAAAGCCCGCCAGCAGTGGCGATTTGACCAAGTCTATGCTGTGGATGAACGATGAATGTCAATGTCAGAGGGAATAGAGAATTTTGGCCATCACAGTTCATCTCCAAGTGAACTTAAAGAGCTTATGTATTTCATGAAGCTGGCCCTTTTGTGTTTGTGCTCCTGGTATTAGGAGAGAAAAAAGCTCCATGAAAGAATATAGGAAGTTTCTCCTTTTCACACTTTATTTCATTGACTGCTGGCTGCTTTTTTTTTTTTTTTTAAAGGATCCATTTTATCATTGTCTTCATCACTGGGAAATGATTATTACATAGTATAAAAGATTAGTTGTTTTTCTCCACTGAGCACTTAACAATTGCTTTCTCTCTGGCCTGGACATTCTCTGGCAGCACCTCCAGGATACATAAATCCAATGGATCAATTTATTTGTCTTCAAATGGCCTTAACTTGGATTGTCTGTTTGGCCAACCATGAAAATTAAGGAGTGACGTGGATATAATGGCCTGACATTCCAAAAGCTCTGCATTGGGTTTATGAGCACAAATGTTGTGTGCATTTGTTGAGCCATATCTCAGAAGAAGAAAGGAAGCTGCAGAGAGGAAGTTTACGTTTGGAGAGAAGATGCAGGAGCACTTTGGCCCAATTCTCCAGCTCAACCCAGCAGCTGAAGAGTCAGAGACCTTGGAAAAGTCATTTTCATGTTAATGAGAATTTTCCCCACTATGGAGAATTTCCTTCCTAATGAGAATCTACCTCCATTCGCCCTTCTGTGTCTCTCCTCTAACTTGGTTAACGATGACCGGATTCCGTTGCAATCGATTTCTCTTTAGTCGTTGGTGTCGGGAGTATCAGCACAAACTGAACATTCCCATTAATGAACGTGTTCACAGTTGAGAAACTCTCCTGCTGGGCGTGGTGGCTCATGCCTGTAATTCCAGTGCTTTGGGAGGCCAAGGTGGGCAGATCACCTGAGTTCAGGGGTTTGAGACCAGCCTGGTCAACATGGTGAAACCCCATCTCTACTAAAAATACAAAAATTAGCCGCGCGTGGTGGTGCATGCCTGTAATCCCAGCTAGTTGGAAGACTGAGACAGGAGAATCGCTTGAACCCAGGAGGCAGAGGTTGCAGTGAGCCAAGATTACACCACTGCACTCGAGCCTGAGTGACAGAGCAAGACTCCATCTCGAAAAAAAAAGAAAAAGAAAAAGGAAAAAAAAAAAAGACTCTCCTGATACCTTGTTACAGGGTTTGCACTGACTGGATCAGAAAGAGCAACCTTTCCAAAAAGGCAAAGCTCCCTGGAAGGAAAACTCTTATGACAGGTAACAATCGGGTGTTAATGTTCATGAGAGCTGACAGGGCCATCTCTGAGCCTGTATAACTGTCTGGGACCCTCAAATGTGTCCACAGATTGAATGTTCATAAGTGTGGGAAGAGCACGGCTCATCTGGAGCACAGCAGAGGCTAATAAGAGGTAAATGACTTTCCTTGCCCTGACCTGGGTTACCTAGTTCAGCCATAAGAGTTGCTGAGTGGGATGGGCTCTGCTATTTAAAAAACGCCATTCATATTCATTTTTCCCCACATGGAGTTACCTTTCCACATGGTCAGCTTAGAAATCTTCCCCTAAAGATGCTGATCTCCTTTAGGCTGTCTCAGAACACAGTATCCTTCAAATAAGAAAAACTGGGTGGCAAGTGCAGTGTTTCCAAACAATACCTATCATAACCACGTATTCACTGTCTACCTGCTAAGTCAAGTTTTCACTGTATTTCTCCTTCCTCAGAATACACTCTGGACCTGTGCTGTATAATATGGTAACCACTAACCAAATGCGGCCATTTTAATGTAAATTCATTAAAATCAAAGAAAATGTAGACCTCAATTCCTCGATTGGACTGGCCACATTTCAAATGCTAGCTACCCACCTGTGGCTAGGGTCTACTGTATTGGTGAGCACGGATACAGAACATTTCTTCATCACAAACCGTTCTGTTGGACTGATCTAGATAGATTCATTATCCCTTCTAGAGAAGAGACTTTAGCCACTGTGTTCTTGCTTCAGACCCATCTATATTTAAAACAAGTTTCCCTAAATCCTGAGACTGAAATGGAGCTAAAAATTCTCAGTTGACAACTTTGTAAAGGGTATTAGTGGTTGAAGAAAAAAAAATTTTAAGACCTCTATTTTTTAAATGAATTTTATTATTGGCATTGTGGGCGTTTGAAGTTGCTGGGATAAATTAGTATAATTAAATAAAAGGCTGAATTCAATTGTGTAAGTTGTTGGTGGTAATTAACAAAAGGACCCAGATGGCTTATTGCTTAATTGGTTGAACAAAGCAAGAATGTGGTGTTTCTTGGTTCCTTAACCAGCGCCATGATTTATTACTTTATTACAGAAGTGGCTGTCAACTCAGTCCCTGGCTGGTACTTATAGACCCTTAATTTGAATAAAACAGATGCCTCCATTTAGTTCTAAAAGGACTTTCTCCTTTAGTGTAACCAAGTGTACAAATTCCCTTCTCTGTGAACTCAGCATTTGTTTTATCCATAATGGTCAATTTAAAAGTAGAGAAACTTGTCAGTAGTAAGACTTTACCCCTAGTTTACAAGCTTAGTCCAAGGAGACCAGATTCATGTTTGAAAATTAACCTTCCCTAACAATTCCCAAACTGTTCAGCTAGCTCATAGTGAATGGACATTCCAGGACCTATGACAAATGTTAAAATGATATAGGCCTTCCTCTGTCTGTCCCTCCCTGTTTCTCTCCTCTCTCTCAGGATGAGAACGGGCCAAACCTGCTGCAGCTGAAGCTTATGAAAAGCCTTTAACTTCTCAGCAAAGTGTGACCAGAGGGTGGGACATACTTTGCTTCATTCAGAGACCCTCAAGAAGGCATCGCTGATCACTCTCCTCTAGGCACAGGCCAAGGGTGGCATTGTTTAATGTCTTATTTAAATAAGATCCAGGAAAACCTGACCTGCTGTCTTTGAAGTCATGACTTACCCAGATGCACTAATGCTGAAGCTGTTCAGAGGGTGTGAAAGGTGAGCACCTAATTAGATTATCCAAAATTCTCCAAAACTCTCCAACCTAAGCCATATGGCTATAGCGGGAGCTGCCTCATTCCCACCATAAGATTGCACCCCCTTCCTCCCAGTTGAACACCTGACTCATGTTGGGCCAATCAGCACATTCCTCAGTAATTTTGTTATTGAGACTAAGAAATCAGTCTCTCTACCAGTGACTTAAGAGATAATGTGAGGCTGGGCGTGGTAGTTCACGCCTTTAATCCCAGCACTTTGAGAGGCCAAGACGGGAGGATCACTTGAGCCCAGGAGTTTGAGATCAGCCTAGGCAATATAGCAAGACCCCCTCCCTACAATAAAACAAAACAAAAATTAGCCAGTTTCATAGCCTGGCCTCAAAATAAATAAATAAATAAATAGATACATAGATAGATTTAAAAAATTTAAAAAAGAGATAATGTGAGAATGTTGAGCTCTCAGCAGGCTTGTTTTCTGTATATGGCCCTATGAAGCAGATGAATCCAGTCTGGAGAGTGAATTAGAGACAGGTGTGGGGTGGAAGCAAATATACAAATAGTGGCAGAGACGAGGGTGGGCTAGAGCACCTTGACAGTATTTGAGCTGCTGGTTCCAGTGTGTTCCCCAGGCCTTGCTCCATGCCTGTCTCCGGAGTGTGTGAGACAACCCGAAATGTATTTGTTTAACTCAAATTTTCCTGTGCTCCTCAAATTTTCCTGTGCTCACAAATCAAGTGGAGACTATGTTAAAGTGCAGATTCTGATCTGGGGCCTGAGATTCTACATTCCTGCAAGCTCCTAGGTAATGCTGATGCTGCTGGTCGGAAACCCCCATGTGAGTAGCAAATGTTGAAATGATTTCAGTAGTTTTCTGGGTTTTTCTAAATTGTTACTTAGAGCTCAGAGAATCCTCACTGGATGAGTTCTTGTGCTATTCTCCTTTGCTTCGCATAGATCTCTTTTTGAAGCCACATGGTAGGATGATTTGATTCTATGTTTTACAGGATAATGCATTTTTTTTTTTTTTTTGAGACAAAGTCACCCAGGCTGGAGTGCAGTGGCACAATCTTAGCTCACTGCAACCTCGGCCTCTTGGGTTCAAGCAGTTCTCCTGCCTCAGCCTCCCAAGTAGCCAAGTAGCTGGGATCACAGGCGTGCATCACCATGCCTGGCTAATTTTTGTAATTTTAGTGGAGATGGGATTTCACCATGTTGACCAGGCTGGTCTCGAACTCCTGACCTCAGGTGATCCACCTGCCTCAGCCTCCCAAAGTGCTAGGATTACAGGCGTGAGCCACCACTCCCGGCCAGGATAATGTATCTTGTTCAATGTAATGACAACGGTTGTTAATTCATTTTCCTCTCTTCCCTCAACACTCTTCCTCTTTCCCATTCTGTCTGCTAATTCTTCTCTTTTGACCAGGGGAGTTTTTAAACCTTTTTTGTTGTTCTTGGTATTTGTCTGTGGTCATGTTTTCCCTCCCTCACTTTCTTTATCTTGCCCCCAACTTCCCTCTATTTCTCATCTTTGAGCAAACCTGCTTTTCCAACACCATGTTCTTGTGGTCACTGTTATAACACTCTTCCTTTTCCTCTATCTGGGCGTCCATGCCCTTCTGCTATCAGTTTCAACTGGCCAATCCTGATGGAGTGAACAGCATCAGTTTCTCCAAAGGACTTTTAGAACACTGAGCAAATAAATCAGTAGCTCCAATTTCCAGCTCTTGTTCTGAGGGAATCCATAGTGTGAAGGTACAGAAATGCCATTTAATATGGATTTGGAATAACAGGGCTACTGGAAGTGCTTCCAATACTGATGGGAATATGGCCCTCATCTTGAGGAGGCAGCTGGGGCTCTGGCAGGCAGATCACCCTGTATAGTGGATTTGCATAGCGGCAGCTACAGGGGACTCCCTGGAGAGGGACCAGGACTTGTGGTCTCTGAAAATAGCCACATCTAATAGCCGAATGTGAAATTAGGTGATTGAAAAACAAATCCTGCCAAAGCCCAAGATTTGATTCTCTTAATCCTTCAGTCCTGCAGTAAAGTTAAAGCATGCATAGCTAAGAAAGAGATACCGAATTCATCCTCCAACACCAGAGGCTGTAGTGGTGACATTGGGCGTTCTGGCCCCACCCACCTCCCTCTGGTCTTATAGCTTCAGCTTTCTCCAAAAGAAGTTCCAACTGCCAGTTAGCTGTATTTCTTCACCTGGATTCCACCCACCCCCCTGCCACCCCCTGCCCCACCAAAGCCAGAGAAGACTGCTTTATGATGTGGGGCAGGCCAGAAAAGCCTTGGAAGTCACATTCCCCAGAAGCAGTCCTCCATGGATGACTGATAGGAGTTGGTGTAGAAATACTTCAGCTCCCTTACCTCTTCCATAGGATAGCTCTGAGGTGCATGTTCTATACCATTCCCCAGAGTTTACCATAGGATTAAGCTCTAGTCACCCACAGCAGTGGCTGGCTTGATAATGTATCTTTAGCTGGCTACATTCCGTTCCCCACTTCCTTACTGGTGTTTCCTGGGCTAATCTTCCAAGTAGACCACTTGAACACAAATCTTTGTCTCAATCAATGTCTTCTAATGGGGAAACCCACCCAAACACAATGGCTCGTCCCACCAAAATCTTGCATCTCTAAGAGTGATCTTTATTATCAGAGTTTACTCTTTGTTTCACCAGTAGTCTTAACCCATGCACAAAATAACCCCATTCCCCTGAATTGAACTTGTCCTATAAACTGCAAGGCTAGAGTATGGGCTTCTAGGCAGCTATGCCCACAAGAAGAGTCTGGGGGAGAAGCAACGTACTTGGTCCTTATCCCAATCTTGTTATAACATTAGACATCCTTCCTCCCTGGGGAAAAGTGAATCGGGAGTGGAGAGAGGCCATGAGTGTTTCACTAATTGATGCCCTTCTTGAAGAAACCTGAAGCCTGATGAAGCAAGGTTCCTCCTGCCTCACAAAAAATGTTCCCTGTCATTTTTCAGTTATTTTCCTATAACTGGTACATATCAGTATTAGAGGATAGAGAAGTATACCATAGAAGTTAGGAGTGAAGTGCATGATTGTTTTCCATGATACAGTGAGGGAGATTCAGATATGAGTATTGAGGAAGAGATGGGTTCAAACAATATGATGAAGAGTAAGATGATCAAGAAGGTATCTCTAACGAGGGCAGGAGTGACTTGCCAGAGGAATTTCCAGGGTTAGGTCTCTAGTCCTCAATATAAAGTTATTTGCCTTATTTCCATCACCCCAATCTTTTAGCTAAGACTTCCATAATGACTTGTGCAGGATGTTGGGAATAGAAATCAAGAAACAGGGCTGAGCTTCCTGGACAGGACAGAGAGGGAAAGAGCAGCCTTGTGGTGTTGGATAGACACCAGTAAGACTGGGCATTCAGGCCAGGTGTGGCGGCTCACACCTGTAATTCCAGCACTTTGGGAGGCCGAGGCAGGTGGATCACTTGAGGTCAGGAGTTCGAGACCAGCCTGGCCAACATGGTGAAACCCCATCTCTACGAAAAATACAAAAATTAGCTGGGCATGGTGGTGGCCACCTGTAACCCCAGCTACTCAGGAGGCTGAGGCAGGAGAATCACTTGAATCCAGGAGGTAGAGGTTGCAGTGAGCTAAGATCACGCCACTGCACTCCAGCCTGGGTGACAGCAAGACTCTGTCTCAAAACAAAAAACAAGACTGGGCATTCAGTGGAATCAGAACTCAAAAGCTTAGTGACAGTGGTATGGAAAAGAATTAATACAGATTGTTGCCACACACCACCAAACGGTGCCAATCAGGATATTTCAAAATTCTGTTAGACTATGAACTAGAATTGGGGTAGCAAACTTTTTCTGTAAAGGACTAGATAGGAAATATTTTTGCCTTTGCAGACCCTGTTAACTACTCATCTCTGCCAAAGGAGCCATGGACAGTAATCAAAAAATGAACATGGCTGTATTACAGTAAAACTTTATTTACAAAAACAGGTGGCTGCCAGATTTGGCCAACAGCATAGTTTGTCACCCCCTGGACTACAGTGTTTGACCAAGCTGTAGGAGATAAATCACAGATTCTTTAAAAATAAACAGAAATATTACCAAAGAAATAGTGAATGAGCTTGGAAAATATAAAAATAAAGTGTTTCTCTGTTATAAATAACCAAACAGCAAAAAGTAACAGGGAACAGTGTATAGCATATGTTCTCATTGTGAGCAGACTCC